CAAGTTCAGCGAAGGTGGGTCTGCGGACACCCTCGAAGTTCCAGCACTCCTGCATGACCGCGTAAACGGCGTCGGGACAGCGAGGCGGCCTGGACAGACGTAAACCCTGGTCCAGCATCGACAGGATTTGGGCACCCTTCATATCCTATCAAAAAAGTGTTCAGTTGTGCATAAAATATTCAGGAAAAACCACAGAGGAGTTGACGCCTTTGGCGTTTGAGTAAGAAAATAGTGCAATCATAGAAGCTGAGTTCCGATAATCAGCGCGCACAGCGTGCAGACGAGGTCAATTCTCTGCTCAGTAAAATATTGCAAAATTAATATGTTCCAGGCTTAAAATAAGCAAAAAAAAACAGGCGAAACAACTAAACTCGCCAAAAAAGTAACACCTCAGAAGAGAGTCCAACCTGCGGCATGCGAAATTATGAGCAAATCGATAGCATTTATGAAGAAGAGAAGGTTGCTGTCATGCGAGAACTTAGCCGCGAGGGAAAATCAAATACGAAATCATAAACAATAACCAAATGGAAGCCCGATTACGGACTTGTCGACGCGGTAGAGACCACAGGGCCAAGCAGGAAATAAAGACGTTGGTGACAGGGGCTACGTGATTAATCGTCATATCGACCGCCCCGCAGTCTACAGGGGTGTGGGTAACCAAGTGACAAGATGGCAACCTCCTGGCTCGTCCCTTGGGCACTTCACAACGCAGGGAAAACAGCCTTGGTGGGTGGTCGCCCTGCCTGATGTTCTAAACCTCGTACCGCACGTAGACGACAGGTTGGAAACGCTTGACAGCATCCAGGGACGAACACTAATAAAACTCCCATTCTTAAAGATATGCAAGAGGTGGGCAAAATAGCAGACGGATGTGCTCACGAGCGCGCGATAACCAAAAAACGCGTGGCCTTCAAACCGTTTATTTAAATGAATTAAAAACCCTGATAAATACGTTCGCGTTGTGATACTATGTAGAACTAGACTGTCTGTGGTTGGAACTGACCACGACCGATGAACATAATGCCATTTGTTGCAAGTCCAAGCGCCTACTTCTCATCCAGTACCACTGCATTGTCGCGGGTAATTAAAAAAATGAGCATTAAAATTGGAGTACATGCATAAAGGGCATGAGGAACGCTGAAGGCCACACTGAACAGTTGAGCCATACGGCAAGGAAAACTCAGCGAAACACCTGACTAGGCTTCTGCATCGGCCAACATCACCTGATTACCACTTTAGAGTATTGACCTTTCAGAGTTGTCCCGTAAATGGCGACCAAATTCTCTCAATACCCAAAGTCTCTGTTTTTAGGGTGTCCAAGTGAATATCCGCCTATCGCCTGTGGACAGCGGTTGATAATGGGTTAGCCACCCAGCTGTACTTAAAAGCCAGTGTTGGGGTAATAAATATGGGTCGGGTCAAACAAAGGCGTGTACGTATTTGTACTTTATTGAGGTTGGCACCCAGGAAGACAATGAGCCTGAAGTTATGTTGGAAATGTCGTGCCTAGCTCATTCTTGAAAGCATTCATCTGCCACTGTAAGACGACAAAAGGGAATAAGAACTTTGGCAGTAATGCGATAAGCTGAAGCTAGGAATGGAGTCAGTGGCACTTAATGCGAAATAATAAATCATCAGGATGTGCTACCGACAAAGGACGGGGACAATACTATGGCCCGGGGGTTAGTGAAGATTCGTACGCCAACTGCTCTAACCATCTGAGCTACTGGAAATACCCTCCGGAGGCGTCCGAGCGTCGATGTCGACGAGGCACCCTGTCCTACCGAATTAGCGAAGCACAAAAAGTTAGACATCACCCATACGAGAGCACCTTCTATGGGCTACTGGGTTGTCGTTTAACAGTAACGCACATCATCAGGCTCCTATGTTACTAGAACAAACACTGAGCACTTTGTTGACCAATGTAAGGACCGCGTAGGCTTGTTAACAGTGTGACGGCTCTCATTCGGATGGAAAGAGCTTTTGGTGCGTATTCTCATCTAGGTCGCCCACTATCTGCCTAAATTCTACTTCTGGAGGCGGTTACGCTGCTCAACGTTTACGTAAAATGATGGTACTTACTATTGAGGCGGGCTTTTCAAATGATCGGTACAGAGGCTTCTAGCCCGCCTACTGAGAAATGGGTCATCAAATTCACTAAGATAAGAAAATGACGGAATCCGTAAGTTTAAGACGAAGCATATTAAGGTCAATAAGGGATGAGCAGTAAACCCATCAGAGGTGGAAGTCGACGAGTCTGTGTGCTAGACAATCACTGTTGTTATTGGTACGGTTGCGATCATGCCTGATCTAGCCTGCCTCGATGATGCCCCGAACTGTACCTCTCTACGCGTGACCATTAGCGGCAGCAGATTTGGACAGCTCAACCCATTCCCTTCGCCAACGACGGAGACCGAATACCGAAGGTCCAAGAACCACCTCCGTGTCCTGACAAACTGTATTGAGCGAGGTTTTGAGTTGACCCTCTCTTCGACGCCTCCAATAGGGTAACGGTTTCGGATCAAAGAGCAGTGACACCGAGCTCCTGAGGTGGACGACGAAAAAAGTGCCCAAACCATCTCAGTCGCCTTTCTTGGATGGCCTGGCTTATCCTTGCGATGGCGTCGCAGCGATCGCGGAGTGTCTCATTTGAGACGAAATGGGTGTACTTCACTCACGCAGTGCGGCCAAATACCTCTAGTTTTCACCTGTTCTGCACGCGTACAGCCCAGCATTCAAAACCCTAAAGAAAAACAGACGCACGGTACATGTGAATCTTAGTGGCGATGGAGAGGTCGCGTCGGATACATTGGCACTACACAACTTCTGAGAGTCCAGTAAGAGGATGAGAATCCTCTTTTGGTAAGCAAACTGTCGGAAGTCTGTAGTTGCGGATCAAACAATCACTGTCACTACCTGATTCTTTGAAGAGTCAAGATGAAGGAAATAGAAAACTGTTTTCGAATTCGGGTCAGAATATCAGATCCGGTAAGGAGGTAGCTAGTCCCGTTGTGGCACGCGTGGGTGCAAATCATTGTGCCTTACCTGATCGCCATGATGGATTGGGAAGAGAAAGGCCGATGGTGTCACGCATGTAGGACACTTTTAATTGATGAAAACGGTTGTAATTGATTTCAAAGGAGTTAAGTTAGACTGGTTGTAAAAAATCCCGTAATTAGAAAAAAAACACAGAAACTACAGTATCTAACCTTGTAAGGGCGCTCTCCAAATGAGAAGACCTCCCAGAGGGTAATGCCATAGCTCCACACGTCGGATTTTGAGTCGAAGCGGAAGTAGTAGATGCATTCAGGAGCGTACCACTTGAGGGGCCATTTGCCAGCGCTGGCGGCCTACAAATTGATATCGTTTGCTAAATAATTGGACTGTGAGCAATGACATTAGAAAAAAAAGACTTCCAATTGACCGCCACATATCCAAAATCTAGCAATGCTCGGAAACGCGGCCTCCTTTGGCGGTCAGTTTATCACTTTGCTACTGGCACTAATTTCAGTAGGCGTGCTACAGTTAGCGCACATAGGTTTAAAGTTGGGGGTGAGGGTTAGGATTAGTTGTTAACGCTCGGTTTAATGTTAACTTGATTGCTTACGATTACGACCAGCGACAGCTCCTTATATCCCGCCTTACCATTAGGAGTAAGGCTCACTTTTTACGCTAGGTTTAGTGCTCGGTTTACGGTTCACGAGATTTTCAACTGGTCTTCGATCACGTTCTTGGAGATATGGTTTTCTGCCACTTTTGCACCCACTTCTTACCACTCCCATCCACGGCTTCCATCTGATTGGTCGCCTACTCGGGCGGTTCAGTTTCGATGACCTTGACGGACCAATCGCCATTACTCCTTCTGGATGTGATTTTTATCGTTTGCTTATGGCGGATTTTCGATTTTCGCGCCATTTGTGCTCAGATTTTAGCCTGCATTACAACAGGCTGGCAAATTTACCTTTACCAATTTTTCTCTTAGTTTTTGCATACTTTTCGATGTTTCCCGGTACTCCCACACATAAAATCCCCATAAGCATCTTTTTTAAACTGCAGCTGCCTGGGTTTTCCTATTTCCCAGTGCGGCCGCGTTTACGTGCCTAGCACAAAATCCTAACACGGAAGTAGAGCGGCAACATACAAGGACGTCAATAGGTATTTCAAGTTATTACATCTACTAAAACAAAATCAGTAGGTGTTGTGCGCAAAACGCACAGGATGGGGAAGTCCCGTAGACATTGGGCTTTGAAGAATTCAGCTGGCGCGATGGAGACAGATTATGGGCGGAGTTGCCGGTTTATGGGACATGCCGTCGTGAGTTCAACTTCAAAATCGCGAACTCATTGGAATCCAGTTAGTGTGGTTGGTATCATGGGTTAGGAGGCGTTTGTTGTGACGCTTAAAGAACTGCGTTGATGATAAAAAAACCGGTGTATCGATGGTTAATGCCTAGGCAACCAGGACAGTCGGCTGGGGCACTCCACTCACAGCAATCAACGGGTGACGGCTAGGGGTAAGAAGGAGATTCTAAACACGTCTTACATTGGTGGATAGCTTACGATGGCGCGTGGGCGGAAAAGCGGGGATGTTAGCAATGCACCCCTTCTGTGGCATGAAAGTTGACCGGTCACCGACGGGTTCTCGTGCAAGACATGCATAGTTTGCCTATCATAAGAGACGAGTGATCGCTACCAGAAGAGTTGGATGAGCCAATAACGAGGAGGAGGTAGCAGTTGATACGGGAACTTCAGTCAGAGCAAATGGCGAGGGAATACTGATGGAACTAGTGACTGTCGGACTTTGGCGGCCAGCGTCAAACAATTTTCCCACATTGAAGTACACAATAAAATGAAGAAATGTGGTCGTGTACCGGAACAGTCAGTCTATTGTTCTGGGTTTTCAAACTCGTGCGGGAGAATCCAGTGAAGAAGCTCTTTAAACGTATCCAGACTCATCAGAAGAGCACCTTAAGCCCGTTATCGCCGCTAACAGTTTATGCAGAAGGCGTTAATAAGTCGCTGCCTATGCAGTCGCGCCAACAGGACCCAAACAGAAAAACCACCAAGGATATAGTATTCTCTGCCATACACTAAGGACGTTTCAGAGGTAACTGAGAGGATAGCTGGAGAACTAGTTTTTGGAATCGTACACTGGCCCAAAGCCACCATGCGCGGCAAGGTCGTGAAAATTAAAAACAGTTTAAAGCCGAAGACGCAGTTTGGGGTACTACATCGCATTCGGCGCCAAAAATGTCCTTGTAATTACACAGATCAGACGGGACGCACGCTGGGATCACGCATACACGAACATAAGCTGGCTGTGCGACGAGGCGACGAATTATCAATAATGGCCACCCACACTTACGAAATGGGTCACGAGTTTAACTTCGCATCCACCAAAATTTTCGCTCACACCGGAATTGATTGAAGCCTGGGCCCCTGATGAGAACTCGGTCAATCGATTTATCGATCTGGCGCTGAAGTACAGAGCTGTGCGCATTCACCTCCAGTCTTGCGTCATCGATCGATGATTGGCTCGCGCGCCCTAGAAGTGTTGTTTGCTCTCTAAGTTGCTATTACATCTAACGATGGACTCCTGCACGAGTTATTTATGAAGGCCTGAGTATGAAAATGATAAAAAATAAATAGAATATTTTGCAGAGAATGGGGAGTTAAACTCACGCGGTAGTAATCGTTGCCAAAGTTCAAGGCCTTACTCATTCCGAAGTCACTGATTTTGGCAAAGCGTTGGGTCACCAGAAGGACATTTCGAGCGGCGAGATCACGATGGACGAATTTGCAGGACTCGAGGTAGGCCATGCCCTGAGCAACCTGATACATCAGGTCCGTGATTACACTGACCGAAGTATCCCTAGGGATGATTGAGGGTGGGATGGACGATGAAGGGTCTGAGGCTGCGTCATTCAGAGACGGTATTTCACGAAAGGCATTAAATATATCAACTGCGAACCGATAGAGCTTCAAAAATGGCACCAGAAAAATTACACATTTTGTGACACGAGGATAAAATTCAGAACTTTGTGTAGGGGCAAAAATTTGCGAAAGTTTTCGAAGGGTGCAATGCGATCGATGGCTCTCCCGCATAAAAGTCGCACTAGAAGAGACAGTGAAATATGCGCTGTGCGAATGTACTAATTCTATTGGCAATGACGGGGAAAACAAATCTACCGAAACGCGCCAGACAAATCGAAAAAAAACGAGTTGTGCCAAAATGACAGGAAACGCCTGTTACATATTATTTTTCATCAAGTTAAAAGCAGACGTAAGGGTGGAACACGATGTGTTTACTATACGTGGGAAGCCGCCAAGAAATATGATTTCTTCTTCTGTATAACGTTTCGTGCACATTAAAAGGTGAGATTCAATTCTACCCTGGCATTTAAATGCCTACATAAAGTAAAAATTGGACTGCTGGTATTTCGGGCGGTACAAACATACCAAAACACCCTTCTATCGTTGTTTCTGTTCCGAGATTCCTCCGCGACTTTTCAGGCGGGGCATATGCAGATAAAGCAACCTATGTTAATTAATTAACCTAACAGAAAAATGACTTTTGTTGGCGAAAGAAAACGACTGAGGATATGATAGCCGGTCCTGAGGACAGACGTGTTATGTTTCTCACACAGCATAGTGTTCCATGACAGGTAAAAATTCGCACTGATACCATCCGAAAGTATAGAATTAACAAGTATCACTTTTGATGGTATTCTGCGGCGACCCGATCGTTTACTGTCTTGGCGGCGCACCATAGTATCAAGGCGACTAAAGTAATTTGTATGATGCGTGATCTCATATATTTAGACACCGGTACTAAGGCAACTGTTATATCGAAACGACAGGTAAATCGCTCTTGCTGTTAATTTGCCAAAGCGAGACACGAGTTCGACTTCCCCGCCGCCAAGATAACCACCCGTTTCTGTCATTTTCTCTGATGATGCGTTCAAGTGAGAATCCGAAACGTCTAGCGAATAAAGCCCTTGTTCCGGCGATCGCTTCTTTTGATACCCACCCATGTTGAAAGCCGGATAAGGTGAAGGTTGCTTGGGCCTTGGACACCTGACATGAATTCGATTGATCAGTGTATCGGTATGGCGCCAGGACTCAAAGTCCAGCATAGTCACCTATTCAGGCTCGTGATACTGGCCGTTGATTGGCTAGTGGCCCCCTATGACTGTTACCTGATCTGCTGCTGCTGCTATCGACTTCAACGATGCGCTTCTGTGCGAATTCAACACCTCGAAAACAAGTTTGGAGGCAACCAGAACGGTAAACGTGTTACATTCTGAAAGATCGGAATAAGTTCTTGAAAGATCCTCATTCGTAAATTTGCTCCAAAAGGCAGCAATAACGAAAACAAACTACTTATTTTCGAAAACAGATCAATCCCAGGGATATGCAAATAGCATACTTGTAACTTTTGTGTCTGTAGTTCTTGCTGATGCGTAATTAAAAAAACGAGGCGGACTTAGATCCAGTAGACTCGTAAATATTTTAGCATCTATGAAGACTAGACTATGGAAAAATAAGGAAAATGATTGCAAAATAAGGAAAAAGCGTGTTTTCCGTTGATGGCAGAAAAGTTATGTGCAGCTGTTAGGAAAGTATATGAGTCGGTACAATGTTACATTTTTTCCTTGGCCTCCAGCGGGAAAACAGAAAGGATGCATGCATTCATTCGTAAAATACAACAATAAATCACCTCTTAGAGAGATGCCTTATTAAAGAAAATCCTAC